TCATGGAGCAGTGGCTCCAGAATTTCTGGATGAGGAAGGAGACCTTTCTGGAGCTCTGATGGCCTCGCCCCTGCCCTCAGGCAATGGGACACTCACATGTGACCCGCCATCCCCTTCCAGAAGCGGGTCGCCATCACCCTGTGGAAGCTTGCCATGCTGGACAGCTACCAGTCCATCAGGAACCAGTTTGGTGTGAGATCAACCATCGGGGCCCTGGTCATGCGGGTATGGTGCTCTCGGGCTATTGTTCCAGGAAGGTGGAGGACTGCTGGAATAGGGTTCTCTATGGAAAGGGGGAGGGTTGGTGGTGGTGGAAGCCCCCTCCCAGGGAGGTTTCAGGCAATGGGACACTCACATGTGACCCGCCATCCCCTTCCAGAAGCGGGTCGCCATCACCCTGTGGAAGCTTGCCATGCTGGACAGCTACCAGTCCATCAGGAACCAGTTTGGTGTGAGATCAACCATCGGGGCCCTGGTCATGCGGGTATTGTGCTCTTGGGCTATTGTTCCAGGAAGGTGGTGGACTGCTGGAATAGGGTTCTCTATGGAAAGGGGGAGGTTATTCCTTTTGTGGGGAGGAGAGGTAGAGGGGACCTCCAAAGGGCTCTGTCAACCCTATGATTCTCTGTTTGACTCCTTCTGTAGGTGATGCGGGCCATCAACACTGTTCTGCCACACAGGGTCATCAACTTCAGCAATGTGGGTGCCATCGTCGCCAGCTTTGCTAACATGGGCTTCCCCATCAGCAGGGATGCTGTTGATGGCACCCACATCCCCATCTGTGCCCCCGAGCACTGGGTATCTATGATCAACTAGAAGGGGTATTTTCGATGGCCCTGCAGGCCATCACGGACCATCGCAGCCTGTTCATGGACATCCACGTCGGGTGGTCGGGGGAGACACCCAACGCCCGCATCTTCCACAACTCCAGCATGTTCCAGAAGCTGCACACTGGCATTTTTTTCCTGAGCGCACCATCAGGACTGGGGACAAGGACATGCTACTCTGTATTGTGGGGTCACAGCGTACCTTGTTGCCCTGGCTAATGAAGCCCAATGTCAGCCACCTTGACCACTCCAAGGAATGGTTCAATGTCAGGCATAGTAGGGCCTGAATGGTGATGGAGGGCACCTACAGGCATCTGAAGGTGAGGTTCCATTGCCTACTCATCTGGCTGGATGTTGGAGAGTGGAACATCCCACACGTGGTGGCTGCATGGTGGCCACCTGGTGTTCTGTGTGAGGGGCATTCCTTCTTGGGTAGGGACAGAGGCTAACCAGTTCAGCAAGGCCTTCAAGCAGTCACACACGGCTGCCATTTGGCAGGCCCATCAAGAAACTTGTGCATCAGCGAGGCCCTGAGGGAGAGTTTCTCACAAGGACTCCAGTGACACTCTCCCCTGGATCTCCTCACTAGGGGCCTGTGCCTCACCCCTCTGTGCCTTCCTCCCCCACCTCTCCTTTTCCTCCTTCCCCCCTCGCATGCAGAGAAAATAAAACACACTTTTCTACTTGGAAAAAATAAACTCTTTGCTTTTTTTATTTGGGGTCAAACTTACTGGGGAGGGACAGGAGAAAGAACCAGGGAGGGGCAAGAGAAAAAGCAGGGAGAGGAAGAAGAGACTTAGGGCTGAGTCTAGGAGTTGCACCTGGCTCTGGTGATCCCACTGCCATGGGTGCGGGGACTTGGCGGCCACTGAGAGGTAGGTTAGGGGAGAAGCATCAGGGGCAGGAGCAGGCAGCATGCTGGGGATCAGGGATTAAACTGCTGTGCACATGGTGTGGCCCTGCTCCAGCATCTCCCGCCAGCCAGATGTCTTTCTGCAGTCTCCAATCCAGGGTCTGCTCCAAGGATTGGAGTGTCGTGCGGTGCTCCTGCTGGAACTCATCTATGGGTCTTCTGCACCTGTGGGTCCCCCTCTCACAGCTGGTCTGGCTGTGAAGAATAGACGGTCAGTCATCCCTGGAGACACTGTGCCGGAAGCCTTACCCTCATCTTTGTGGTGAGTCCAAAAGGTGTCGGTTGAGACGAAGGTGACGTGCTTTGAGCAAGGCCATCTGAGGCCTAGATAGCAGGCCCTTTCATGCAGGGGCCCAGATGTCCCAGGGGAAGCCTCACTACCGCCCTGTCCCAGGGACAAGTAGGCATGGGAAGGTGTCGGCCAGACTGAGATCTTGCGGCTGAGAGGGGGATCCCTCTCACAGCTGGTCTGGCTGTGAAGAATAGACGGTCAGTCATCCCTGGAGACACTGTGCCGGAAGCCTTACCCTCATCTTTGTGGTGAGTCCAAAAGGTGTCGGTTGAGACGAAGGTGACGTGCTTTGAGCAAGGCCATCTGAGGCCTAGATAGCAGGCCCTTTCATGCAGGGGCCCAGATGTCCCAGGGGAAGCCTCACTACCGCCCTGTCCCAGGGACAAGTAGGCATGGGAAGGTGTCGGCCAGACTGAGATCTTGCGGCTGAGAGGGGGATCATGAGGTATCTGGGCTTCCCTCTGTGCCAAGTGCCCACCAGGTCCAGGAGTGGTGGCATCCCACAGGGAGAGGACTTGTATCCCTGCATGCTGAAGGAGAGGGGGCAAGGTGGTGGAGGGAAGCATGTGAGCAGCAGATGCTCCTGCGCCTCGCTGTACTGTCCCCAGGAGGAGCTGCTGCCCCGAGAGTGCGGGTATGCTCGTGTGCCATGTGCCATTTGCTGCACTGGTGTGTGTGTGTGTGTGTGTCCACGTCCCCAGACTCCTTGTAGTGGTGGCTTGTGGTGGGAGAGTGTCGTCCCACCCCGGTGTCAGGAGTAAGGCAGGCCTCCCTAGAGCAATAGCACAAGAGTCTTCTGTTGCAGCCTCTTGGGGCTGTGCCCCCCAGACTGGCACTCCGTGTGCTCCCACGTGCACAGGCTACTGCACGATCCTCAGGTCACAAAGGCCAAGCGAGGAGCATGAACCCCGGTGTCAGGAGTAAGGCAGGCCTCCCTAGAGCAATAGCACAAGAGTCTTCTGTTGCAGCCTCTTGGGGCTGTGCCCCCCAGACTGGCACTCCGTGTGCTCCCACGTGCACAGGCTACTGCACGATCCTCAGGTCACAAAGGCCAAGCGAGGAGCATGAAGCTGCCCCTCACCACCTGCCACCTCCACCCTGGGTGTATAGGGAACATGATGACACTCACCTGATTGGCCCTCCCTGGCCTTGGGCAATGCCTGGGACACGTCCAGAGCATGGGGTACCGGCTCCAGGGTTAGGAGGGTTATTGTGCTGGCTTCTTCCGCTCCTCCACTTCCTCCTCCTCTGCTGTGTCTCTGCCCCCCCATGAGGGTGACGATGGGCATCTCGAGCTCTCAGTCGACTCCTGGAGGGGAAGGGACTGCCCGACCCCCTAGTATGAAGTGCAGGTCCTCATAATAGGGGTAGGTGTAGGGTTCTGCCCAGAGCAGATGCTGTGCTCCCAGGCCTTGGCATACGCCTGGCAGAGCTTTTTAACTTTCATCCACACCTGCTCCTGGGTGCAGCCTGGGTGGCCAGGCTGTTGGTCATGTGACCATAGATGTTGACATTCCAGTGTCTGGTGCGGAGATCCTGGAAGTTGGTCTCGTCACCGCTTATCTCAATAAGGTCCAGGATCTCTGCCCCAGACCAGGAAAGCGTGTGTCTTTTCCATCCCCAGGCAGGGTCCTGGGAGCTGGGAGACTGCTCCCTGGGAGCAGTGGAGGGTTGGGTGTGAGCAGCACAGTTGCTCATTTTGACCTACCTAGAAGCAGTGGCAGCTGCTGGGTGGCTCAGGGCTGTCAGGGCCTGCTGTCTGCAATGAGCCCTTTCCCCTGAGGCTGCAGCTGTAAGGGCTCCAGAGGAAGCAGGGACTACTGTTTTTGTATGAGTATGGACAGAGCAGCCAGCAGGGCACCATGGGAAGGCTGGAGGCCAATTATTTCAAAATAATTCCAGCCACTCTGTCTATATAGGCACTATTCTAAAATAGCTATTTTGGAATAGGCACTATTTCTCATGGAATGAGGTTTACAAACGCTGAAATAAGCCACCCGTTATTTCAAAATAACAAGCTCGCTGTGTAGACGCTCACATAGTTATTTCGGAATAATGGACATTGTGTGTGGACGTACCCTAAAAGGACTCTCTTGCTCATAGCTGCATCTCCCTGGGAGAGGGGGATTGCCAACATAGCTATATCAGTCTGACATCTGGAATTCCACACCTTGGATGGACATTCCTCTGTTGGCAAAGCCCTGTAGACCTGGCCTTAGCTTAAGTTAGTCAAAAAATTACTTTAGCTAGATCAATATAGTTCACTTCCAAAATAACTATTCACACAGGGATTTATACAGAAATAAAAGGTATATTTTAAAATGAATTAAATGTGTGGATATAGGCTAACACTAACAGAATATAGTTCATGATCAAAAAGTAAATTCTGTAAAGGATAAAAAAGTCAAATGAATAAGGGGGAACTTATGGACAACAGCAAATCAAGATTTCAACATAACCAATAACAGCTGTTAACAGGTGGCTCTGGAGGCAAGGACCCTCACTCAACTGAGAAAAATTAACCCTAGCCCAGGCCCACATGAACATTGAGATGAAGAACGAGACTGCCTGTTTACTATACCTATACATTGGGGATTTAGGGCGAGAAGGGATCAGTCAAATACAGAGAAGACTGCCAGATTTGATAAAAATAGGATTCCACTGAGGTGTCTGGAATGAGAACCAAACCCATTTTAAATTATGGAAGAACTGTAAATCACGCTCTTTCATTCAGAGCCAAAGGATCTGGTTGTGTAACCTTGGCAACAGAGTTTGGGAACAACAAAGGCACTCTGACAGCCTGCGCTCTAATGGAAGATGACAATGCTTCACATTGAGGAGTTGATACAGAGGAGGTAAAGAGTTTCTCACTCCATCTGGCTTTTCTCTTGACTGTGCCTTCCAGATAAAATGTATTCATTTCTGTTGATTTGTTGAAGCAACTGAAACAAAAGGAGAAATCTGTATAACTTTGGGACACAAAAGCATGAGGAATGCAAATTCAAAGGTCACTTTGATGACATTACCTTGACGGTGTAAATATACAAGTACACATTCCTGCCCAAAAGCGCCTTTCTTATGGTGTATAATTAAACAGGGAACAAATAAATACAATTAGGCAAGATTTACTTTGCGAAGCAGAACTATCAAAAGCTAAGAAATGGATGGAAAGTTAAATGATAACACTATCCTATTACACATTTGTAAAGAGAAATGGGAACAAAGATATTAATCTGAAGCTGAAAAATCTCCCTCAGCTTCAATTATGTGTGTGATTTCTGTCATTAAAAGAAAGCAAATTTCATTAAAAGTAAAGAAAAAAGATTAGGCAACACAGGGTCTAATTGTGGTCTAGATCACTCAGGATCTCTACATTGCAATAAAAAACCCACAGCTGGCCCATATCATCTGATTGAGACTTCAGAGCTACTTCATTGCAGTCTAGATTTCTAGGCTTGGATTGCTGCCCAAGTCAGATGGCATGGGCTAGCAAAGGGCTTTTAACTGCAGTGTAGACATATCCTAAGAGGATAGCTACATATGAATTTAAAATAATTATCCACACACTTTACCATAATAGCGGCAAGGAGTCCCGTGGCACCTTATAGACTAACCAAAGTGTTGGAGCATAAACTTCCGTGGGCAAAGAACTACTTCATGATGAAGTGGGTCTTTGCCCATGAAAGCTTACACTCCAACACTTCAGTTAGTCTATAAGGTGCCACAGGACTCCTCGCCGCTTTTGCAGATTCAGACTAACACGGC